TTCCTGTTCACCTAGAAGTAAATCGGTACCTGGGAGTTAGACAGCTGTGCTACGGGCTGCTTCCTGGGTGATGTGTAACAAAAAAAGGAGGCCTGGTCGAAGACCGGGCCGCGGGGACGCTAAGCCCCGAAATCATCTCAAGATAACCTCAAGATAAACACTGATTGTAGGTAAACCTAACCAAACATCAGTGTTAAATATTGTGTAAACTTTGATCTGTTGTGGAGTGAAAGGTAATTGTAGACTACGAGTGGTGTAGAGGAGTCACGGGTCTTGTCCTCGTTAGTGGTGATTCAGCCCGACTGTTGCTGTTGGCGGCGGAGCCTGAAGAACACCTCACCTCTCAAGTGCCTCTAATGACATACCGCTCAAGGGCGAGCCACAAGTGGTAACGCTCAGAAACTCCCCTGGGGGGGGGGTAGTTGATTGTTAGATCACTCTCTGGAGGTAGTTATTGGGGGACTTTTCTACCTCCATTCTCATCATTTTTCTATGTTCTTCCACTTCTCTATTCCATACAAAATTCCAGAAATTCCGTTCTAAAGTCTTGTGTGTGTCTAAGAATGTCTTGATAGTTCCAAGAACATGGTGTCTTCAAAGCTTCCTTGGCGCCGCAACATTTAGAAACCTAGGTTATAGTGGTCTAATTTGTGTGTTTTCCTGTGGTGTTGCGTGTGATTCCTGTCTTAAAACACTGGGTGTGTGTGTGTGTGTGTGTGTGTGTGCCAGCGTGAGGCGAGTCACTAGGGTAATATGAACAACAATTGTGGCACTCCTCTCAACTCGCTAATAACGCCTAATTTGGCCACTCTCAATGGCCCTCCTTAAGTCATCTGGCACGACCCCTCCCCCCTCCCCCCCCCCCACACACACCAACTTCTCTCTCAAACCAAGACTTGGGTCCATTAGTAATGCCACAGAGTTCCTAGTGCTCCAGCCACAGCTGTAATTCTACATCCGCTCATCCTAAGTCTGACCCTAGAAACACATTCACGTGACGAGGTAGATTTTGGTCCCATTAGGAATAAGCTTTCCTTAGCGCTAAGTTAATATCATGTTAATATGATGAAATAAGTCAACTGTGTGTCAGAACCGTCATATGGTTGGTGGACATGATTCCCTCGGATATCTATGTGTTATCTACGTGTTCAGTGTGTGTTCGTAATGGGAGTCCGCCTAGGAATGAATGACTGCTGGGGGACTGATGGTTTTGAGATTGGCATTGCTTGGTGAAAGGGTTTGATGGCTGAGCGCCTTGTGTTACAATTGCCAACTTCTACCTGTCCAACAAGTTAGCCCCGGTGGTGGAAATATTGATAACATTGGCTTTATGCTTTAACTCGTCCTCTCAACTAATACGTCTCATTCTGTACCTTATGGTCGCGACATATAAACTACAAAGTACTATGAAAAGTAGCGATTCATAAATATCTGCATTTTCTATGCATCGGGAGGTTAGGTTACGCGGGTGGCTTGGGTTCATGCATTTCTGGTTAGGTAGTACATTGTATTTTGTACGCTGTGGTGGACCAAGAGACCGGGCTGAAGAGCCAGGCTGCCAATACCTCTCCAGTGTTAGTGTAATCATTTATTATGCACCCCATACCCATCCCCTGGGCGGTGGTGGGAAGGGCTACGGAGCCACGTAATGCCTCCGGTGTCTGGGACTCTATGTACCCAAACCTGCCCAAGCAGTACATGTCAATACTCGATATGATTCTTCTCGCATGCTTCACTATTTTGACTGCTGTTGGAATCAATGATGGGGGACTGGCGGTCCTGGAGAGCGGTGCGTATTCAAGATGGGAGGGAACTTGTGCGCCATGTAAGGTTTTGCAACCTCTGCTGCCGAGAAGGTATGAGAGGCGCCATAGGGTTGTATGCTGCCTTACTTCCTATAGGCTCGACCTGCGACTCTACGTGGTCACTGTAGAGGCAAACTTAATTTGTCTTTGTCTTTCACTCTCTCCCTTCCTCTCTCCTTCTCTACATTCCTCCCTCCCTCCCTCCTTTACCTTCCTCTCTCCCTCCCCACATAGCCGTTAGCGTCAAGCAGGTGAGGGAGGAAGAAGGAAGGGCTGCGACACAGACGCAAGATGTGGGACACGTGATGGGCCAGCGTCATCGCCTGAGAAAATTACCGCACTGGAGAACAGTTTAACAAAGTTTCTTAGGCAAGAAGATGCCCTCGAGATATGCTGTAGAGATATGCTGTAGCAGGAAGCTTAGGTGAAGCTGCCGACAGGTGGCTCTTCACACGAGTCAGCTTCACCAGCTCCAGAACGAGTCACGTTGCATATCTTTGGACCTTTTCTAGTTTCTCATTGTCTTTTTTTCATGTAAGAGTTGCATGCTGGGGCTCAATATTCAAGAGTGGGTCTCACCTTCGCTGTATATAGGGCCCGGAAACCTCCTTTGTTCAAGTTTCTGAATGATACACGGATGTTGGCAAGAATGCCATACACAGCGGATGTTATTCTGCTAATGTGGGTTTCTGGCACTCAGATTTGGGATTATGTCCTCTTCCAGGACCTTTCTCCTTTTATATTTGAGGAATTTGTCTTCTCTTCATCTTATACTGCTGTACTGGACTTCTCACTCCTGTTCCAATTCTCATAACTTTGTATGTGGCGTGGTTAAACTCCAGCAGCCATTTTTCAGACTTACCAAGACTGCCCAAAACAAATCCCAAGACTGCATCACAATCTAACCCTGACTTGGCATTAGCTTGCATCACCTGCAATCATTGATATGAAGGAACCAGTTTCCTCTGTCAGGCCATTGCCATACATTAGAAACAGGATGGGCTCTAGAACCGACCCTTGTGGTACGCCACTTATAACCTCTCTCCAATCCGATGTCTCTGCTCTCACTGTCACCCTTTGCTTCCTTGCTGAGAGATACTATCTGAATCCACCGAGGATTATTCCAGGTACGCCAACTTGCTTTTCCAGTTTGAGTAGGAGTCTTTCATGCGGGACTGTATAAAATGCCTTCTAACAGGCGAGGAATATGCAGTCTGCCCATCCCTCTCTCTCATGTTTGTCATCGTGTTGTAGAACTCAAAGTTTGTCAAGCAAGATTTTCCTGTACTAAAACCATGCTAGTGCCTTGAGACAACATTGATGGACCTTCCCTTCTTTCTTTCCTTCACTAAATGATCTACTAGCCTGCTTCGGATCAGTCTCCAGCAACTTGTTACTGATACGGGTCTGTAATTTAACTGTCTGTCTTCCCCCTTTCTTGTAAATTGGGATCACATTAGCCACTTTCCAGCTGTCAGGAAGTTCCCCCATTTCTGGAGAGGAATTAAATATTATGGCAAGTGGGCTGCACAATGCCTCGGCTGCCTCATTTAATATCCATGGCGATATGTTGTCTGGTCCCATAGCTTTGGTCTCGTCTAGTTCCTGTAGTTGCTTCTTTGCTTCGTCTCGTGTCACTGTTATTTCAGTGACACTTTCCTGTGGAATTTCCCGTTCAGTTTGGGCTCTTAAGCTCTAGTGGCAAATCAGGTTCCAGCTTGAATACTTCCTGAAAGCTTTTGTTAAGTTTCTCACATGCTTTCTTACCATTTGCCATGTCTCCTCCCTCACTTTTGTCAAGTCCGATAACCAGATCACTGTCTTTTTTTTTTTTGAGATATATACAAGAGTTGTTACATTCTTGTACAGCCACTAGTACGCGTAGCGTTTCGGGCAAGTCCCTGGAATACGATCCCCTGCCGCGAAGAATCGGCCCCTCCTCACGGCTCCTACTGATTTTCTTAATAATAATAATCTGTTAGGTAATTATATTAACACGAGTTAGTCCTTCCTTCCCCTCGGAAATCAGTTTTCTTTGTTTGCCAACGTTTTGGAGGTAGACTTAAATAGTTTCTCGCACCACGCCAGCTGCTGCCCTCTCCATCATATTTGTATTATTATTACCTTTATCAATGGTGACACAACAATATGAACGATTATTCCTGATACAGTGCCCCCTGTCTATCACACGCACCATACTATACAAAATAATATATTTTATGCTTTCAAGGACTAACTCAATCTGAGAAGCCCGAATTTCACCTGTGTATTAGAAAGTTTAAGTGACATAGTTACTAAATACACAAGTTAGCCATCTGGTAGTCCGCGAACACGGCCTGTAAACTGGGGAGGTAAAATAGTGGTAAAAATAATACTGGAAGGGAACGTTTTATTCTCGGTGTAAGTTAGGGAGCCGGTCGGCCGAGCGGACAGCACACTGGACTTGTGATCCTGTGGTCCTGGGTTCGATTCCGGGCACCGGCGAGAAACAATGGGCAGAGTTTCTTTCACCCTATGCCCCTGTTACCTAGCAGTAAAATAGGTACCTGGGTGTCAGCTGTCACGGGCTGCTTTCTGGGGGTGGAGGCCTGGTCGAGGACCGGGCCGCGGGGACACTAAAGCCCCGAAATCATCTCAAGATAACCTGAAGATAGACGGTTGAGGTGGCGAGGTGACCCAGCGACAGGCGCGTCTCAGTGTTGGTAGAGCACATTGGTGGAACGCCTCGATATTAGTCAAATATAATGTGTATATAAACAGGCTGCCTGTCCCCCGACACAATGACATTAAAATTACTCTTAGTATTATATATAGCACTATATTGCTCTCCTGAGAATTACGCCGAGTAAATCATTCAATAGATAGCGCAGGTTCGTTTTCTGAGAATACTGAAGAGGAATATAGTTTTTTTTTATTGTAATGAAACAATATTAATGACTGGTAGTAATTAAAATGGTTTTCCTTGTAAGGTGCGTGGCACAATAACACTCTCCAAGACTTTCCGCCGGAAACGCTATGCGTGTTAGTGGCTGTGCAGGAATGTACTACTTGATCACTAACGTATGTAGTCTCACAAGACATTGTACCTTCTTGTATGTATATTATATATTGCAGAATAGTCGCGCTGGAAAGTAGTTACCCCTAAAATAAATAAAATTTTCTGTGATATCTGTTAACACCCGTTTTCTATTACAGCTGATGGGGAACTTGAGGAAGGGCGTAACCCGCTCGGTTACCGCCCTAGAGCCCCGAAAATCGGCAACCTTCCAAAGTGAGTACCAGACAGTGTGTTAAATGTTCCGCTTCCTCTGTGTACATTATGGCAGCTGCGCGCGCATTGCCGTATACACAATAATACATTATTGGTCTGGGTGAATGACCTGCATGCTCTCTGGTCGAAACTGTAAGCTGAAATGGGTTGAAGAAGCGCGGTAATATTTTTATTTGTAGCCGATAATACAGCAGACTACAGCGGTTACTTTGTACTGTATTGACACATCTTAATATTATAGGTGTATTTTTTTTTTGGGGGGGGGTAATGCTTAATAATATAGGATGTTCATTAAAGTACACACACACACACACACACACACACACACACACACACACACACACACACACACACACACACACACACACACACACACACACACACACACACACACGCGCGCGCGTGTGTCTCTAGCTCCTCTCCATATGGCCTACTTCACAACCTAGCAGTTGGCTTTGTAATGCCAAGTTCCCTAAAGATGGCAGAGATTGACATGCCCCCCCCCCTCCCTCCCTCCCTCTCCTCCCTCCCTCTCCTCCCTCCCTCTCCTCCCTCCCTCTCCTCCCTCCCTCCCGCTCTCTCTCTCTCTCTCTCTCTCTCTCTCTCTCTCTCTCTCTCTCTCTCTCTCTCTCTCTCTCTCTCTCTCTCTCTCTCTCTCTCTCATCTCTTCTCTCTCTCTCTCTCTCTCAGCAAGTATTCACCTAGTTGTGCTTGCGGGGGTTGAGCTGTGCTCTTTCGGCCCGCCTCTCAACTGTCAAATCAACTGTTACTAACTACTATTTTTTTCCCACACCACACACACTCCCCAAGAAGCAGCCCGTGACAGCTGACTAACTCCCAGGTACCTATTTACTGCTTGCTAAACAGGAGAATCAGGGTGAAAGAAACTCTGCTCATTGTTTCTCGCCGGCAGAGTTTCTTTCACCCTGATGCCCCTGTTACCTAGCAGTAAATAGGTACCTGGGAGTTAGTCAGCTGTCACGGGCTGCTTCCTGGGGTGTGTGTGGTGTAGGGGGAAAAAATAGTAGTATTGGCCCTTGCTGACACAGCCGCTCCTCCCCTGAGGTTATCTTGAGATGATTTCGGGGCTTAGTGTCCCCGCGGCCCGGTCCTCGACCAGGCCTCCACCCCCAGGAAGCAGCCCGTACCAGCTATCTAACTCCCAGGTACCTATTTACTGCTAGGTAACAGCGCCATCAAGCCGAAAGAAACATTTTGCCCATTTGTCTCCGCCTCCACCGGGGACCGTACCCGGCACCTCAGGACTACGAATCCGAGGCGCTGTCCAGCCAGCTGTCAGGCGGCTGACAGCTGGGTGGACAAGTTTCTTCGACGGAGTCCCTATCAAGACTTGATAGACAGTCTGCACTCTGGAATTGACTCGTAGCCTGGTCCGGGGAGAGAGTGAAGGTCTCAAGTTCTTTCACTTGAACGCCGTCTCCTTGTGCTATAGTGAGATGGTTAAACAACCCTTGTAGGTAATTGGCTTGTTTTAAGACGCACCGGATTGTTGAATTGTGTATATCCCCACGTGGTTCATGGTGTGTATATCCCCACGTGGTTCATGGTGTGTATATCCTCACGTGGTTCATAGTGTGTATATCCCCACGTGGTTCATGGTGTGTATATCCCCACGTGGTTCACGGTGTGTATATCCCCACGTGGTTCATGGTGTGTATATCCCCACGTGGTTCATGGTGTGTATATCCCCACGTGGTTCACGGTGTGTATATCCCCACGTGGTTCATGGTGTGTATATCCCCACGTGGTTCATGGTGTGTATATCCCCACGTGGTTCATGGTGTGTATATCCCCACGTGGTTCATGGTGTGTATATCCTCACGTGGTTCATGGTGTGTATATCCCCACGTGGTTCATGGTGTGTATATCCCCACGTGGTTCATGGTGTGTATATCCCCACGTGGTTCATGGTGTGTATATCCTCACGTTGAATTGTGTGTGTGTGTGTGTGTGTGTGTGTGTGTGTGTGTGTGTGTGTGTGTGTGTGTGTGTGTGTGTGTGTGTGTGTGTGTAAGGCCATCTCCCTTGCTCACAAACCTAAATATATTCATTTGTATTCATTGCCGTATTATATTTCCCCATATATGGCAACGAGAATTATGTAAACAAGTGACTGATGTTTTGACCAATGAGACGCGGCGTTACAAAGCGCTTGTCGAGTCATGCTCTAACCCAACCACTTGGACGGTCGGGGGATTGAACACCGACCTGCATAAAGCGAGACCGTCGCTCTACCGTCCACCCCCAAGTGGTTGGACTGGACCCACAACCTTATTCCAGACTCGACAAAGAATTCCAGCGTCAGAATAGGAACGGTCCGCCCATCCCCTTGGCTACTCATAAGCCAACTCTCCTGTATGTGTATCGACTCTGAAACCCACGTGGAACTAGCGGGTACAGTTCTAGCAGGCACAGTTCTAGCAGGCACAGTTCTAGCAGGCACAGTTCTAGCAGGCACAGTTCTAGCAGGCACAGTTCTAGCAGGCACAGTTCTAGCAGGCACAGTTCTAGCAGGCACAGTTCTAGCAGGCACAGTTCTAGCAGGCACAATTCTAGCAGGCACAGTTCTAGCAGGCACAGTTCTAGCAGGCACAGTTCTAGCAGGCACAGTTCTAGCAGGCACAGTCCTAGCAGGCACAGTCCTAGCAGGCACAGTTCTAGCAGGCACAGTTCTAGCAGGCACAGTTCTAGCAGGCACAGTTCTAGCAGGCACAGTTCTAGCAGGCACAGTTCTAGCAGGCACAGTTCTAGCAGGCACAGACCTATAACTCGTTATCCTGCAGCACGCCAAGGTCGAGGTAATCTTAGAGACGCTATATTATTCTAACAGAGGAAGGCGGGAGTATATGAGTTAAGAAAGGATCTGATCCTTAATGCCAAGCTCCATTGTCCCCCCTTGACAATGTAAGTCCGGGGGAGCGGAGCTCAGGAATATTTTGTGACTAGAACCCCCTAAACCCACCCCCCCCCTCATATCCCCCCTCATATCCCCCCCTCATATCCCCCCCTCATATCCCCCCTCATATCCCCCCCCTCATATCCCCCCACTTCCCCACCCCCATCCTGGGGCCAGATTCACGAAGCAGGCGATGAGTCACAATAACGTGGCTGAAGTACGTTGACCAGACCACATACTAGAAGGTGAAGGGACGACGACGTTTCGGTCCGTCCTGGACCATTCTCAAGTCGATTGTGAGATATACAGGTTCACAATGGACTTGAGAATGGTCCAGGACGGACCGAAACGTCGTCGTCCCTTCACCTTCTGGTGTGTGGTCTGGTCAAATTCACGAAGCAGTTACGCAAGTACTTACGAACGTGTACCTCTTTCCTCAATCTTTGACGGCTTTGGTTACATTTATTAAACAGTTTACAAGCATGAAAACTTGCCAATCAACTGTTGTTATTGTTATAAACAGCCTTCTGGTGCTTCGGAGCTCATTAACTGTTTAATAATTGGAAACTAAGCCGCCAAAGATTGAGAAAAGATATACATGTTCGTAAGTGTTTGCGTAACTGTTTCGTGAATTTGGCCCTTGACCTCTCCTTGCCTCCTGAGCAGAAAGCAAGGTTGGGCTACCATAAGAGGATCTTTGAAGCAGGACTGTGGGATCGATCCACCGTCCTGCTACACAAGTTTTCTGGTATGGCGTTATTGCGGTCACCTTGTGGACGAGAGGTACCATATTTACCAGGGTGAAGGGAAGGAATTATCAGGGGGGGAAAGCGCCAAGCCATCACGACTATATAGCACTGAGAAGGGGTCAGGATTTGGGATGGGACGGGGGGAAAGGAATGGTGCCCAACCACTTGTGGACGGTCGGGGATTGAACGCCGACCTGCATGAGGCATGACCGTGCTTCACCACTAACTAAAAATAGACCGTATTTACGTGCACAAAAGTCATACTTTTCCCTGCAAAACCACAGGAAAATTACTTTCATTGAATGTGTAATGTGCCACATTAAAATCATAACTTTCATGTACTAGAGACCGGGCCGCGGGGACATTGATCCTTGGAACCAATAAAAGATAGACTAAATATAACATGAATTATAGAAGTTGCCATCGGGAAGATAAGGGGGAACTTGGGTCAAAACTCCCGTGGACTCGGCCAATCACACGGGATCTGATTTTAAGAGGATTGAAATAACTTACCCAACTGGGGCCAGATTCACGAAAGCACTTACGCAAGCACTTACGAACCTGTACATCTTTTCTCAATCTTTGGCGGCTTTGTTTACAATTATTAAACAGTTAATGAGCTCCGAGGCACCAGGAGGCTGTTTATAACAATAACAACACTTGAGTGGCAAGTTTTCATGCTTGTAAACTGTTTAATAAATGTAACCAAAGCTGTCAAAGATTGAGGAAAGATGTACACGTTCGTAAGTGCTTGCGTAACTGCTTTCGTGAATCTGGAGCCTGGTTTTCACGAGAGAAGCACTCTCCTAGTTGTACTTGCAGCGATGGTGGAGTTTCAGCTCCCTGGCCCCGCCTGCGTGGGGTCTGGGGAAGGCAGGAGAGGGTGCAGGGAGCCGTGATTGCAAAGCAAATACTGTTGTTTTTGTCACAGTAGTGTAGGCGACGGTGTCACAGTCATGCTAGGAGTCACACAATACTGTCATAATAAGTGCTTGAGTAAACAGGTTTGTAAACACACAGCATTCTGAGAATGTTGTTTGATGAGAAAGCAGTAGTGTGGGGTGTCTCGACACACACACACACACACACACACACACACACACACACACACACACACACACACACACACACACACACACACTGTGTGTGTGTGTGTAAATGTTGGTGTATAGGTGAGGGTATAGACTCATTCCTCTCAATGTTTGCTGACGACGCCAAAATTATGAGAAGGATTAAGACAGAGGAGGACAGCTTGAGGCTTTAAGAAGATCTGGACAAGCTGCAGGAATGGTCGAACAAATGGTTGTTAGAGTTTAACCCAACCAAATGTAATGTAATGAAGATAGGGGTTGGAAGCAGGAGACCAGATACAAGGTATCACTTGGGAGATGAAATACTTCAAGAGTCAGAGAGAAATACCTGGGGGTTGATATCACGCCAGATCTGTCCCCTGAAGCTCATATCAAGAGGATAACATCAGC